GGAATTTTGGGAAATTATACCTCACGTGAAAAGGTGCATGAATACATGTTTTAACTCGAGGCGTGTGATATAAAACGRCACACACCATGTTAGCGGGGTAGCGGTCACGCAAACATACTAGACTGTCTCATTTTACAGCAATTTTATGCAGCCTGCATGGACGGCATATGGCCCGCAGCGTCTGTAACCGCTGAATTGGYACACAGCTATTGCAAACTAAAAAAAATTACGGTGCCCCAGAAGGGTCAACAAAAAGGGCAAAAACCACAAGATAAGTTAAACTAAAAACAGAAGCCAGTTGGTGACAGTAGTAATGAAGAATGTAGAAGAAGAATAAAGGACTATATGGTTGGATGAGTTTGTGTGGAAAAGTARGTAAAACAAAGATATTGTTGTGTTAATGTTGACATAATATGGAAGTTTTTACTGGGGTGTCAGTCTCTAGACAGCAAGCTTAACTGGAAAAGACGTGCAAATAAAAAGGTGTAAGAAAGCAGCAATGTGCCCAGTTGAAAGTAGTTGGTGGGGTGCTGCCCTAAAGATTATCAGATGGGTTTACCTGGCCATAGTCCACCCCATGCTATGCTATACTAGCTTAGTATGGTGGGTTAGAGTTCAAGTTGGGGTGGCAAGAGTGATGCTCATCCATTTGCAACAGACGGCCAGCCTGAGCATCACAGGTTCCATCAGAAAAACACCCATGACAGCCATGTAAGTTCTACTGGACATGACTCCACTAGACTTGCATATCTTTGTGGAAGCCGCATCCAGTGCATTGAGATTARGCCAGTCTGGTAGGTGGAAAAACCTATCTGACTCACAGCACACTAAAATATGGGACTGGGCCATTTGTGRTGTTCCAGTAACTGCAGGACCTGGAGACAGAATGGTCAAAAAACATAATTTTGAGCCAAGTTTTAAGACAGAGATTGAAGATAGMTCTGTCTGGAGTGGATCTGTCTCTATCATTTCTACTGTTTCACAGATGGATGCCTTCTGAAGGGYTCAGGTGCAGGGGTGCCGATTTTGCACAACCATAGTGAAAGAGAGTYCAAATACCCACTAAATAGTTTTGCAACTGTTTCTCAAGCTGACATATATGTAATCCACCAGTGTGTGAAATCTCTCAAAGACCTTCAGTGTACACAGAAAGAAGTATTCATACTAACAGATAGCTAAGATGCTATTAGTGCTCTCCAAGGACCACATGTTACGCCATTACTTGCTTGGTAGTGTGCCAATGCKGTCAACCAACTGGGGAACCAATGAGCCCGCTTACGAGGCCCTGGCTCATATGGGTTCTTTATCCATCCCCACTCACCATAACCATAACAACAACTCTTGCTATTCTAACAGGCTTGGCACATGTAAAAATAATGTAAAAACTAAACTCTGGGATCATTTGCTGATCTAATGAGACCTCTGGGTGACAGGCTGCTGTGCTGCCATGCCAAGTGAGCCCTGTGAGAAACACCAACKCTGTCATTAGCAAACACCTGAGCTGAAGCTTCTGCTGCCACAWTGCTTGTCAGGTGAAACTGCACCTAATCACATCACCTTTAAGCATGGCACTAAAAAAACTCATTTTGCATGTAAATAAAATAATCAGATACAACATAAAATGATATGACTGAATTAAAAGATTCAAGATTAGACAATAATGAGCTTGGACATAAAAAATACATTTTTATGTATAAAAGCAGATAAAATTCTTTACTATTAATTAATTGGTGTGAGATGAGTTGTAGCAAATGCATCACAAGCTGCTGCTGTGCTTGAATACAAGACCACAACTGTTTTCATTCAACATGTTCCTCTCAAATTGAAGGGAGGTGAAAACAAATCGAGAGGGGGATGTGGCTGACTGCCTGTAAGCTAAATGACATTCATTGTTTTCTTTCTCCTGTCTGTTGCAGTCTGATTTCATAGAAATGCATGCAGTCAGCATGACCACTTTAATAGCCCTATGAAGCAATGGCTGGCTGGTGTTGAAATGAAAGTGGAAAGGCAGATGGTTGCTTTAATATAGTGACACGGAGCTTCCCTGATTTCTTGSTCTCTTTTTTGATGAAGAACACAAGACAAGACAAAGTACATTTCAGAACAGGAATGTTTGCAACAACATTTTAGGGTCACTCTGGAGACAATCCAGAATACTTATCATTGTTGTTTATTTTATAGTTTAAATAATAAAGTCAAAATGGTTAAATGTAGTAGTTATTTTATAGTATATAATTATAATTATAGTAATTGCATTTTACTATTTTTGGCTCAGTTGGTAGAGCTGGTGCCTCTCAGCGAGAAGGTTGCCGGATCAAATCCTAGCCCGGGGACCTTTCTGAGTAGAGTTTGCATGTTCTCTCAGTGCATGCGTGGGTTCTCTCAGGGCACTCCAGCTTCCTCCCACAAACCAAAAACATGATTGTTTGGTTGATTGGTAACTAAATTGTCCTTAGGTGTGGGTGAGAAAGTGAATGGTTGTTTGTCTTATTTGTCTCTATGTCTGCCTGTGTTAGACTTGTGACCTGTCCAGGGTGTACCCCGCCCATTGCGCTGTGACTGCTGGATATGGGCACCAGTGACCCCCGTGACCCTGAAGGAAGAAATGGGTATAGATGATGGATGGATGGTAGTTATTTTGATATTAAAAGTAAAGTCAAAACCAAATAAAATATTGTAATTAGAAAAACTGCTAATTTTCTCTTGACTTTATATTTCAGAATGGGTTTTAATATTAAAAGGTAATTTATTTATTACGTTACACCAAAATTGACAATCTCTAAAGAACTTCTCAAAACTTGTAGTGGTTTATTCTGCAATATAAAAGTAACGTTGTAAGCTTGTTGTTAAGATATTAGGTGTTTTGAGAATATTAAGTTCATCAATTAAAGCTCTACTGCACTTCTACTTGATGTGAGATGTCTGATCTCGCCACTGTCATTTGAGACTTGTTRTTACTGGCTATACTCAAAGAAAACACATGTGGGATAAATCCTGATAAGTCATCTCACTGCAACACAGCAGCACACGTCACACACAATCAGAGTCATCACATATAGAGCTGTTGTCAAAGTGGGTGTTTGTTTTTAGTTGATGGACGAGTAAGATCTGGCATTTCTGTTGTCAGACAAGGAGAAGCACTATTTTGTGTTTGTCACAAAGAGACTTCCACATGAGTTTTGTACTATCTTTATGTTTTTTTTAAATTATTTTTCTTCATAACCTTTACTGGAACAGTTGGAATGTTGGTTGTAGTCTCTTGCAGCCTTTTCTGGTTTCTCTGCAGAAAACGAACATGTCCACAGACTTCTGACAAACCACACGTCTGACGCATAGTGCTGCACGTACTAGTCTGACCAGGGCCAGTGCACCAGATGAGGTGTCAGTAGTCTGTGGTAAGAGTTGAAAGCTCCACAATTTATCACACACTATGCACCTTATGGATTAAAAATCTGAGGTTTGAACTCTTATTGTGAAGGATGGATCAACATTTTGTGAGTTGTTGTGGCAGCTGTGTCAGTAATGAATTACACCTCTAACTAATTTAAGAAAATGTGCTATTTTGTACTTTATCTTGTAAAACTGCACTTCGAGCACTCAGATAAAATACTGATAAAACATGATTTCTTGAAGGAACCATGGTTTTTAACAAGGCCTTCAAGATCTCAGATTATGAAGGGGATGCCTCTCAGCTACTGCC